TACACGTGTATATACAGTCGTATATACTCGTGTATAAGACTACTTCATGTATAGAGCGACCTCTGAATTATTTTGTGAAAAATTAAAAACAGATTTTTTCATATACCTTGTGTATAATGTGACCTCAGCTTCTGAGCAATACTAGTAGACCCATCGTAGTTAAATACTGCAGTACAGATTAGTTTTATTATTAATTTTTTTTATTTCTGTTTGAATTTGCATGCATATACTTACATTCATAGATTTACGCAAACACACACACACACACACACATACACACACGCGCACACACACATATATATATATATATATATATATATATATATATATATAGATAGATAGATAGATAGATATAGATAGATAGATAGATATGCATATTCATATATCTGTGCTTTGTTATTAATATTTTAATTACTGCTTTTACTGGTAAAGCGAATTTTTCCAAATGTTAGGGTATTAATTATCAGTGGTTAGTTTTATGCAGTATTTTCTTTGTTGTTTGAATATTGTATATAAGATATATAATATACAGTCTCTCTTACATACACGCACACACACAGGCATATGCATATATATATATATATATATATATATATATATATATGTTTTTAATTGTAGTAAATTAAATATTTGTTTATATATTATCATTTATCTAAGGTTTCATTTTTGTTTATTAGGTTGTCCGAAAAGTTCGTAAACACTTGCGAAAAATTGAATTTTTATGCAGCACAATCCAGCACAATCGAGACAAGCGATGGGTTCAGAAAGAGCAAGAGACACCGTCGGTTCCAAAACAAGATCGATTCAGCAAGAAAGTCATGTTGTGCGTTTGGTGGAACTTTGAAGGAATCGTGCATTTTGAGTTGGTTCCGAATGGTCGTGCCATTAGTGCCGAACTTTACTGTCAGCAACTGGAGCGGGTCTACGAAAAGTTAAAGCAAAAGTACCCGGCTCTGATCAACCGAAAGCGCGCTTTGATGCAGCAGGACAATGCCAAGCCACACACCACCAGGAACGCCAAAGACAAGTTTGAAGAGCTGGACGGCGTTGAGGTTCTGCCACATCCAGCCTACAGTCCTGACTGGGCTCCATCAGATTACGGCCTTTTCCGCTCAATGCAACACTTTCTGAAGGGCCGCCGATTCGACTCGTTTGATAAAGTCGAAGCGTGTCAAGAATTCTTTGATTCGAAGCTGGCTGAATGGTACTTTCACCAGATCCGAAAGCTTGCAGATCGATGGCAGAAAGTCTTGGAAAATGATGGTCTTTATTTTGAGGAACAATTTTTGTTGTTTTTGTTATTACTTGGCGAGTAAAATTTCAATTTTTTGCAAGTGTTTACGAACTTTTGGGACAACCTAATAGTAACTAGTAATTTTTTTTTTTTTTGCCTTGGGGTTATCTTAAATACTGATGTATTAATTAATTATGGAAGGTTAGGTTTATTGTTGTTGTGTGCGTGTGTGTGTGTATATATATATATATATATATATATATATATATATATATATATATTATATATATATATATATATATATACACACATACATGCACGTATATATATATTTAATATTTATTCGTTTATTTTATTTTCTGTTTATTTTTATTGCTTTGTTCATTTATTTTAAGTTTATTTTATTCATATATATATATATATATATATATATATATATATATATATATATATATATATACTGCATGGGTCTGCATGGATACATATATATTATTATTTATACTGCATGGGTCTGTCCATTTTATAATTTCCCATTTGATTTTGGTGGTGATATTTTTTTCTTTTTGGTTCCATATATATTTTGATAGGGTTTATTGTTTGAGTATTTTTTCTCTCAAAAGACATTTTGTGGTTGTAATATCTTTCTTTAGGTTTTTTTTCTGTAGCGCTAGTATAATATTATTCGTCTGTGCTAATGTTATTAATAACTGTAGCTTTGTATATTATGTTGTTGGTTAAACATTTATTGTTAAGTGGGCAATTTTCTTTGTTTCTTCAATTACATTTAATGGGGTTATTTTGACGGATGTTATTGTATTGTTGTCATAACTCCTATTGGTTTCGTTGAGTATTTTTTTTTATTGTGCTTAGTTATTGTTTCTTCTCTTATTTTATCTGTAATTCTGCAGTGCAATTTTGTAAAATTAATAGTCTATCGTCCCTGTATAGACCCATATCTTTTTTGTTAATTATATTTGCTAATTTGTTCATTATGTATATGCCTACAAACTCGGAACCCCTGCACCATCATAGCTACCTGTTGTTACGTCAAAATTATTATTATTGTTTTGGCGTTTGGGGGCCATAATATAGATTTTATTATTATATTTATATCTTCATTGGGACAATTATATACTGTCTTGCTAAGTTTGGTGCATTATTTAATATATTATCTTTGATAGAAGGGTAAAAGTCTTTTATATATATTGATTTTAGGATCTGAAGAAATGAGTAGCATGAATCACTTTTTAACCAACCGGTTGATTTATTAAATCGAAGTTTACAAAACAATTTCCTATTTTTTTTGTGACGAAGTATTGCCACCCATCGTTTAAGTAAATTATTTAAACAGATAACGAATTTAACAATGTTATATATGAATGGCATTTTTCACAATACAACTTATATTCTTTTGCAGACGTCACACTAAACGTATCAAATAGGAGCAAATGAGATGAGATTAGATTATTTTAGCATTGGCTTCTGTGTTCACGTTTTGGACGAAGCATGAATTATTATCAGTTAGATTTGCATAAGTGCAAAAAGATTCTCTAATTTGCTTTTATTAGTAGATTCTATTGATTTTCTTTTCGCAGACATGAACTGAAAGGATTATTGTTTTAAAATTTCCACAGTCGTTTGTGAAATGAATTTCCTTGAGTTCGGTTGCTTAGAACAAACGTCCGATTGAATCCACGTCTCAAAGAAGTATCAAATCAATTATAAATATATTATAAATATATACACGCTTATATATATATATATATATATATATATATATATATATATATAACACAACACTGAGTAATAAGGTAGAATGCATTAAAAATATTTATCTTGTGCGATTGATTCTTTGATCTCCAAAACAAATATTAATCAAGTCTTAAGATCTGTGTAGGCACGGTTAGCGACTCCGATGGAAGAGAAATCGAAGAGCCGAGTTCGAATACCAATCGAATTAATTACATTCACTTACGTGCAAATAACCTTTAGAAAGCTATGAATCCATCTCTCCACCCCCAGCTATGAATAAATAGCAGGACAGACTGGGACCTATAGCCTTGGGTGGCAACCGGTCTAGGAGGACCACTTTGAATTTCTTTGTTACAACAGAAGCTTATTATTTTAGACGAAGAGAAAGCAGGCACGGAGTGCAGCTCGGATTAAGGAATTGGAGAACCGAGTTCGGATTCCAGTCTAGTTCACTACATTCACTTTCGCACTAATACCCTCGGGAAAGGAATGAATCCAACTCTTCTCCCCCAGCTATGGTTAAATACTACAGAAGTCTGGGCTCTGTATCCTTGTTTGGCAACCAGTCTAAGAGAGGTATAACTCTGAATTCAAAACTGAACGTAGCACTGGCAAAGCACATACTACGAAGCTAAGGGAGGGGTCGTGGAATTAGTATTCACTTGATGGTCTTGACAATATCGAACTCCATAAGATTTAGATTTCGTCCCGTTTGCCTTTCAATATTTGCCTATTGTAACAAACATCCTGATCCACCGTCATCAGTGGCAGCGATACCGTCGTGTACGTTAGTTCTTTCGTATCGGAAAACAACGTATAACCTACCTAGCGAGCTTGAGTAAGTGGATGACGGAACAAGGTTTAGTAGAGATAACAAAAATACAAAATTTATTAAGAGCTACAAAGGACAGGAAATTTGGGAGAGCCATGAATTTACAATACCGTCCTCTCGGTACTAGTATAGGGCGCCGACACGCGTCCATCTCTTCGGGTCCTGTGCCATCAAGACCATCGGAAGGGATGCACTGGTCCGATCGTGTCCAATGAGGAGCTATACCGGGAGGACCTGCTAGCCGAGCATCCTCCGCATCATCGTTTAGCGCCGTGTTTGCTGTCATGCCAAGACGGTAAGAGTTGGAGGAACAAGGTGGCTCTCGTGGGCGCAACGCATTCATGGCATGTAATTTAACAGCAGAAAAAATCATATCCCAGTTTTCAATATTGGCATGTCATTGTCATTAAATAAAATAATGGAGGCCATATTTGATATATAAACGTTCGACTTTAGAACTAATACAGACGATGAAAAATATGTCATCAAAATCCAAATACATTGGAATATCGAAATATGACTTTTAAAAGTATTAAGAAACAGGAAAATTTCGACTTCTGTTTTTTTTTTATTATTATTTCTGTTCATTTATTGTCCTCTCGCAGATTTTTTTACACTCAGTAACCCCATAGATCTTAGTGGCTTTATTGCCTTGCTTGGGGTGAAATGATTACCTTCAGATTCTTGCTTAGTTACGAATGCCTAATGACATTCCTCAAGAAATAATAGGATATATACACAACACCTATACAATAGCCCCAGTTCTAAGTTATGGTGGAGAAACTCCTTCGCTTCCAGTTAAAGCCAGTCTCCTGCGAGGAGACCAACTTGTTTCGCATTTTGTTTATTGTTATTGTTCATTTTTGACCTCTCTTCTTAATTTCTTTCTCGGATTCTTTCACACTCAGTAACCCCATACGTCTTAGTGGCTTTATTACCTTGCTTATGGTGAAATGATTACTTTCAGATTCTTACTTAGTTACGAATGCCTTATGACATTTCACAACAATTAATAGGTGATATACACCACACTGATACTTTATCCCCCCCCCACACCCGTTTTAACCCCTGGTGGTGAAATCCCTTCGCATACTATCAAAGCCAGCCTCCTATAAGGAGACTCACTTGCTCAGCTTTTTGTTTATTGGCATTGTTAACTATGGTTCTTCACGTCACCCCCGGATGCGCTCTCGCTGTCCTGCTGTTCATATCAGAGACACTGACTTCACACAAGATATATTTCTAATTAATAAAAATCTTAGAATTACACAGGTACAATTATTTCCTCAAAATTTTTGCTGCTGTGTTGACCTTTTTACTTAAACGAACCAAACATCGTGTAAATGAAACCATTGTCAAAGGGAGACAAATAATGAAATTAAAACATGAAATAGTAATTTTTTTTTATCAAGCTGATAACTACACATGGCTCGACACATTCATATTCTGAAAAAGCATTTTAATGTCAGAAAATGCCTGGCTTAAACCGCTTCAAACGTTACTCAATTTGATTTGTCTCACTTGAGAGTTGAGTTTAAGTTACAAATATTTAGGGCCACAAATGAGTCAACTCTGGAACATGGGCAATGTCAAGACACCTTCTTTCTTTTCTATGTGCCGTGTGTGCCTTCAGAACATCATCGATCATGGCTCCCCACGATTTCCTGCCCTTTGTAGCTTTTAATAAATTTGGCCTTTTTCTTATCTCTCCAAAACCTTGTTCCTCCATCTAATTTAATCAAGTTTGCTATGCATTGTTTTTCTCAGTCCATCTTGCCTTCAATCTGTGAATGTCAAATTTGCCAAGCCCTTATTACGTGCTCTTAGAAATTTCCACTTTCTCTTCATGATGTCAAATTTAAGTATCATTTTTGTTTCTATTTTCTCTAAAATCCGGACGTTGCTTATACATTCAGGCTATTGCCGCTAAAACTTCCTTGTTGCTCACATGTACGATCCATGATATTCTCAGCATCCTTCTGTAGAACCACTTCTCTGTTGCTTCAAGTCTCTTCTTCATTTGTAAAAAGATTGTTCAGCATTCACTGTCATATATGTGGACTGATATTACATAACAGATCAGTACTCTTTTCTTTGTTTATAACGAAATTTTTCTGTTTCTTAATACTTTGCTTAGCTTTTAGAAGGCATCTTTCGCTATCCCATTGTGCCTGTTGATTACAGTATCACACTTTCCATCCTCCGATAAAAGCCAGGTATTGATGTACTTTCAAATTTTGAGCACCCAATTCGTTATTACCAGGTTCAATTTCAAGGCACCGATCTAAACTGATACTCAAATCTGATCTATAATCTGATACACAAATCTAATGAGCAAGAATTATGTTATTTGTAATAGCGGCTAATCGCTTGTATCCGGGTATGCATGTCTACTTGGGAAGCTAGCCAATCCCTGCTGCAGACGCCTGCTCAGACTCATTTCAGCAGCCACAGAGCCCAACAGTAATACTGTAACTTTGCCGAGGGTATCATAGTTACAGTTTCTGGGAGAGAGTGTATTATCTGGCGTGATCAACAGTCTGGATAAGGCCAGTACGCTCAGCCACGATGACTTGTGACTTCGTGCTAGCAATTTTCAACGGCTCTCTAAATAGTTCCCGCTAAGACTTGGACCATGGCTTTTCCTGCACATTCCGAGGGTGCCGCGCTCTGTGATCGCCTCCTTAGGCCGATAACATCAAGAAGTCGCCTTCCTGACAAATCGATCATGATGAGATTCGAACCCAGGTTCTATGGTCGGAATGTAAACGTTCTAACCACTCGACCACGCGCCTATGTCTGATTGTAAGAGGGCTCTGATTTCAGGCTCAATTACAGGTCCAGCTATGGACAGGCAGGCGATCTGTTCAGGCTCATCTGATTGCAGTCAATTGAAGCCAAAGATGCGACCAGCGCTGCTATCATTGAAATTAATGCAACAGTAAATGGATCATATATCGTTTATCAGAAGTGTATTGTTCTAGGCTTTATTGTATTTGTTGGGCAACAGAACCTTCGAAATCTTAGATTATCTATAAGTAAATCGAGATTCGATCTATTATAAACCAGTTTGTCCATAGGATATTCTGGTTTTGTGAATGTTGACAGCAGGTCATTGATCTGTTGCTATGTACTTTCCTTTTAGACCAGCAGTTAAATATACCATGGAGTCGAGTGTAAAGCGTTGGGTAGCCCCGATCAGTTAAGCACATCATCATTAACTATGCGTGCGAAACTGTAATCAATGGTAAAAGCCACCTCCCATGAGACTGTCTTTATCGCAATTGTAAATGCTTTTCATAATGTATCATTATAATTATGTTTTTATGGATATTTTCCTTATCTTTGTAATATCTGTAACGCCGAGTTTTGATCGATGCAATTTTCCATGTATAAGTCATTCGGGTTCCTGATTACGTTATTCTAGTACCTTAGTTTGTTATCTATCTATCTATCTATCTATCTATCTATCTATCTATCTATCTAAATCAACATGTTAGTATCTCAGTTTGCATCTACCTTTCAATCTCTCTATCTCAACACGTTGGTATCCATCCAAGTTTCCTCTGTTATCTATCTATCTATCTATCTATCTATCTATCTATCTATCTATCTATCTATCTATATTTTTTCAACATGTTATCATCTCCAGTTGCAGGTATCTATCTATCTATCTATCTATCTATCTATCTATCTATCTATCTATCTATCTATCATTTCAACGTGTTCTTATCTCACTTTGCAGGCATTATCTATCTATCTATCTATCTATCTATCTATCTATCTATCTATCTATCTATCTATCTATCTTTTTCAACGTGTTCTTATCTCATTTTGCAGGCATCTATCTATCTATCTATCTTTTTCAACGTGTTCTTATATCATTTTGCAGGCATCTATCTACCTTTTTAAACGTGTTCTTATCTCACTTTACAGGCATCTATCTATCTATCTATCTTTTTCAACATGTTCTTATCTCACTTTTTAGGCATCTATCTATCTATACGCCGATATTTTTCTGTCTTGTATCTTTTTCATATCTGTTTCTCTGCAAAATTCCTGCGAAGAAGCAATGTACACATTTGTTTTCATCGATAGTTTTTTTCAGTATTTGTTTGTCAACTCAAAAGAAATCTTGAGAAATCAGTCATCCGATATTTCGTTAGATAAACCAATGCTGCTAAAAGGCAAACGCTCCCCATAAAACATGCAACACAATGGAATCTAAGGCAAACCTATTATAATTCCCATAGTTACAACATCCTTTCCTTCTTAAAACTCCTTCTCCGTACGGTCTACTGTACCGGTTAAAAACATCTGTTCTGTTGTGAATTTAGACTGCAAGGAATATGCGAAAACTTAATCTTCATGGATGTCTGCTTGTTTTATGATTTTGGAATCCTGCCTTGAGATCAGCTTTGGCGCGGATTCTGAAACCCAATTCAGATTATCAAATACTGCTAATACTTTCATTCTTAAGCTGGTCTTTAAGCTTGTTTTACAGTGTTTCGATTTTCTTTATTTAGGTTTCATTGTTTGGCACAGGTGTTTACATTTGGTTTCGGATTAGAAAAATAATCCGCTGAAGCCTTTCAGGTGCACACAAAAATCAAAGAAAGATAAGTCGTAGTAATCACTTTTATTTTGATATTGAATCTCACAAGAGAGAAATAAAATACTAAAACAGGCAAGAATAAAGATGCATAAGATTTTAACTGATCCGATAAAAAAGCAGGTTCATTAAAACTGCAGAAGCCTTACGACCAAATCATGTTGAAACGCCGGTTCCCGTACGATCACCGATGTTAAGCAACGTCGAGCTTGGTCAGTACCTAGATGGGTGACTGGTTGGGAAAACCAGGTGCTGTAAACTTGAATGTGCGGGTTATGTAAAGGATAATGACTCGAAATTTTTACTCAGAGAGATAAGTTCCAATTCCAGTTGGGTTCGTTATATTCACTTACGTGCAAATATCGTTGAGAAAGATATGAATTCATCCCCAACTATGGGTTAATTAATAAGATTTGTATCATTAAATCATTATTATCTCGAAAAAATTCTTACAGTTTAAAAATATTTTCTGGCTTTAAATAAACTGCAGAGGTTTGATAAGCCGTAAAAACCAAACCAATCAATACGTCATGGATCTTAGATAATTACTTTAAACGAAAAAGACTGGTAACACTGAAAAATAGTTAGAGGCTATCCATACTTCATTAAAAAAAAGTTTTATCGTTTGTTTTACTGATATATCAATAATTGCGACCACAAGATTGATTTTCTCTTTATGATATAATATCATAAAAAAGCCCCCTCCTTCGAATATGCATGTTCTTCTTGTACGCCCCAATTATCGAGAAGTTCTTTTTTTTTTTTTAAAAAAAAAAAAAGGCGACCCCCCATAATTGGTAAATCTGTTTTTTTTGTTTTTTGTTTTTTGTTGTTTTTTGTTGTTTTTTTTAAATTTAAAATATAGCACTTTTGAAAATATATATAAGATTGGCTTGTATCGATTTACAGGGGAAGGACAAATTCAAAAAGAATTCATTATGGTCTGGCTATTTCAATAATAAAAGAAAGCGTTTACATTTTAGCAAGGGTACAAAATATAATAACAGCAATAAAAATGTACATGTTTAAACAAGAAGAAAAAAATAACAAAAAAGGGGGTAATAAAAAGAATTTACATTACCGTAAACAGGTGATATCAATATGCAAAACACAATTAACAAAAAAGAAGCTTAAAACAAATGTAATATATACCGTAATGCATTCAGTTGACGCTATTCACAAAATCAATTTTGCTTGACCTAATATCTTTTCAAAGGTTTACTGATATTTTTTTAACTTCAGGGAATTTTTCCGTTATCGGTTTTAGGCAACCATCTATTATTTTATTTCCATCATTATCAATGTGTTTCCGTCGCAAGTGTTTAGGAACCATAATATATTATACGTCTTAATGAAAAAAATGATTTGTCACTATGGTTTGAAATTATATTGTTTTCCTTTTATAATTTGTTAAGGATAAGCTGGATGGTTGATAAGTGTCCTAACTGTTTCATATATGAATAATGTTTCAATTAGCTCCCCCACCCACACACTAGAATTAGTGCATCCCTCGAATAATGGTCCCTCTTAATGGTTCGAATCCGATACTCACGAATGCAGCCTTTCACTGAAGTTCATTAAGAATCTATATTCAGCTAAATAAACGAGAAATTATATCAGTTGTCATTTCGATTTTATTGGTCGATTTACGCCCAGCCGTATGGTTTTGTGAGCGGGTCTGGTTTATACCTTCCGGTAAAAATAGAGCCAGTAAACGCGTGGGAGTGACAGTTTACAGACATATCAAGCGCACAGAGACGGGTGTGGTGAACTCATAGACCAGTATATAAGTTATTCTTCTGTCCAAAACACAGACAAAAGTAAAAGGAATAGTGGTATTATACGTTTAAATAACATACACTTGACTTTAAAAAAATCAACGTACACGTTAAAAAAAGAAGAAGAAGAAAAACATATTTGAATATCTCGAGTGTTACAGAGTAGTCCTATTCAAAAAAAGGTTATACTTAAGCAATCTTTATTCTTTTGCAGTTTGCTTCCGGGTTAACCACGTGATACATTAGATTCAAATAAACGAATGTATCTACTCTTTTAGTGAATTTAGTTTTGATTAAATATCAAATTTAGTTTAATTATTCTTTTTTTTTTCACAAAGCAAAGAAATAGTTTCAAAATGAAGAGACTAATTATAACTCTGAGACGGAAAGAGATTAACATTGATCCGAGAACGAACCAAAGTAAGAGAAATGGAATGGATTAAACAACATAAATTGAGGCAAGCGAGACACTCAGCAATAAGAAAGGATAATAGATGGAGTAAAAGGTTGTTAAATCTTTACCAGCACCTTTGAAATACTTTCAGGAATAATGGCTAATGGTAATGAAATTATTAAATATTTCATTATAAGGAAACTTTCAGGATTCATTGACAGAACAGCTTATACTACTGTCAGTTGAAATTTATAAAATATTTCTCTTAAAACAATTTTTCAGGAAAATAGTTTTCTCAAGTCTAGTAGCTGTTATAGCTCTTGCCAGTATTAATGGCCGTTTCCTTCCTAATCATCTATTTGAAGTAGTGTGGAATGTCAACATGTTTATTATAATTTTATTTTATTTTCGGCTTACATGTGATATCCATTTCAGCTGTTTGGTAGCTATTTGTGATTTTGTGCCGCCAGTCAACATGGAATAAAAGGTTGTTTCATTGGTACCCAATAAATAGCAAACGTAGTAATAAAACTCAAATTGAAAATGGGGAGCTAAAATAGAGGGATTTGCTAGGGAAATGAGAAAGCAGAGTCACGGTCGTCACGGATAGATTTGGTAAAGCCTTGTGTGTAGTAGTGGATACAAAATGGCTACTACTCTTGTTGATGATGTTGTTGTGGATGATGTTTCTGATCATCTTGCTGATGATGTTAATAATGATGATTTTGATGATGCTGATGTTGAAGTTGATGATATTGATGTTGATGATAATGTTGATAATACTGATGTTGAAGTTGATGATGACGGCGATGATGATTATGTTGATATTGTTCTTGATGATGATATTGAGGATGTTGATAATGATGTTGATGATGATGTGGATGTTGATGATTTTGTTGATAATGCTCATAATGATGATGATAATGATGATGATAAATGATGATTAAAGACCCTTGAGTGAACGATGCGGAACATTATTCTCGGTGATGTTATTTCCCGTTTCACCGCTTTGTTCTGGCTTATCGAACGAGTCTAATCTTTCATATTAAGAACTGTCTAACTAACAAGACCTGGCAATGACTCATGGTTACAGCACTAAGTCATCCTGTCAAGTATATCAAGATAAATTCTTCAAGTATGGCCAGACAATGCCTGCAAATAAAGATAAATCAGCAGACATGTAGAGTCGTGCATTGTACATCGACGCTCTGTCCAGTGTTTTAACTTAATATGAAATCATGCATTATAGAATAACGCTAGATTAAACCTTTGCAAAGTGTAAATCTTTTGAAAGGGTCGACTGTTTAATAATACACCTTTTGCGACACATTGTCTTAACCAAACTGTTGTAACCAAGTAATTGGTTAAGAAATAACAAAACAAGAGGTTGCAGATAAATAGTGTATTGAACAGTAAATACAACAGAAGTGTGTTACACGGCTTTGGGAGTGTGTGTGTATTGGTTGACAAGCGTTCAGTCTATCACTGTTATATTTAACAGCCCTCCCCCCCATCCCACAAGGGCACAAGGCCGAGTTTAACGTGGGTCATCCGAGCCCGTAGTCTCGGCCAAAAAATCCCCGTAGAGCCCACATAAACGGGTTCGGGTCTGTCTACCTTCCCGGACAAAACTCTGCCTTTCGGCACAGCCTCGTCTGGGTTTCTTTCTGCCCAAGGCAGAAAGTTCGACAGGAGCTGCGAACAGTCACATCCTTAGAAGAACAGTCTATCACTGTTCCTCCGAGGCTTACTTTTCCTGCTAACTTTATAGTAGGTGGAAGTGTCCACAATAGCCTCATTAGAGGGAGGACTCCACAAAACAAAACAAAACCATTTTCCCCGAAAAATGTACTCACTTGGCTGTATTTGACAAGTGGTGGTTGTCAGTTTGAATATTTATAAACCCGAATTTAATTTAATTTAATTAAATATTTGAACCATTTATCTTCTTTGTAAGTCAATAAGCATTAATATTTCGTAATTTTAACCATTAATCTAGTTTGCAAGTCAATAAACACTGCATTTACAGTCATTTAAAGAGTGGGTACATTTTGTGTGCACCCTATATAATGAAAATATGTATATAAAAATAAATAATCCCATTCAAATGTACGTAATAATTAAAAAAAGGATAGGTAAATAATTGAGTTTTGCGACACACGCTTTTGTAAATATCTGGTCTACGGATATATGAAATTCAAATATATACTTTCTACGTTTTCATTAAAGGCTTCTCGTGTACGACAGTAGGTTTATGTATTACTCGAAAATTATTCTCGATTTATGTTGTTTAACTTGTTAACACTGGAATTGAAAAGAATATCTTTAAGCATCTCGAATTTTATAAGCACATAGATTGATTTTTCTATTGTCAAGGGCCCAATTTTAAGAAGAGTCAAATGTTAGGCACAAATCGTCTTGGGGTCAGTTTAAAGTAATGGCTTCCTTTTTTCATATTTTGTAACCATTTAACTTAAAGTTTGTATTGGCTTGATTTTAGATGAAACTTGGAAATTTTCCAACATATTTCAGTGAAATTTTCACTTAATTTTAATTTATACTTATAGTTTGATATAAGGAAACTGACTGACGCCAAGAGGATATTCATTAAACGGCAGGATATGCATTGAAATGAAACTGTTGTGAGTCTCGATAAAAATAAAATATAAAAATAAAATATATAAACAAAATAAAAAGAATAAAAATAAAATAAAATAAAGTATTTGTGCTTTCCTTTAAAACCTTATCTCTCTCTTTCTCTCTATATACTTCTCTCTCAACTAACGTGAAGGCAACTTCCAAATAAAAAGAGGAAGAAGAAAAGACTGATCCCAGCCGAAAAATTACTTATTTGTGATTGAGACATACCAAAAATCAGAGAGGCTCCACGCATAACTTCCATTATAAAAAAAAATGAAAAAGAAAGAAACACCGGAAGATAAAATAATTTTGGCTAATCAGAAATATTAACACAAAGAGACCGTTGATATTAGCGGACGGTGAGAGCGACAACTAGAGGGCCAACCGCTAGAGAAACCAGCCGTGCATGAGGAATGAAGAAGTAGTTAAGAGGTCATCTGCTAATG